ATGTAGCTTATATTACATATTAACAAAATGCAATTGTACGGTCAAAACAGTAATCTCAAGTCAGCGATTACTCATCTTGGCATTTCCGGATGACCTATTTGAAAGCGTGTACATGTATCGGCACGTATGACGGCGTGTTTCTCTTTAGCTGCCATTGCATGAAATAAACTAATGAGCCATAGTTAATCATGAATGGATATTCTTCTGAATGTAACGTATGGAAGCGTGTTGTTATCCATCACTTTGACACAAACATGTATTTTAACAACATATGCGTAAAAAAGAAAAGTAAAAAAAATAAGAGAAATTCCGAAAACCCTTGCTTGAGATCATTCATGATGTACAAGAATATTTGTACACTCATTTTTTATTTCAGCAGAAATTACAATATAGGTCGTGTATGCATACCTGGACAGTCAAACACAAGAGAACTTTAACTTTTTTCTCGAAAAAAGTTCGAGATCTTAATGGATGAAGAGGATCTCTGTGAATGTGAAATAAAAACTAGGTGACTTATTCAATTCTACCATGTTTACATATGACTACACGTAAGATGCATTGCTATTTTATGTTCTTAATACTGTACGTACTCGGTAAACTCTTTAATTGACTGGGCATTTCATAATAAAATCTTATCTATCAATGGAAACATAGCCATTGGTTTCAAAACTCAAATGTATGTGGTAGAGGATGCGCTAAGCTTTCAGTTTTCAATAGCATGTACTCAAACGTACACGTAACAATAAGTACCGCACGATGGTTTTTACTCCTTACGGCAGAACAAAAACACTTTCTAAAAGCCAATGTCTGAAATAACGGATGGTGAAGTCTACAGTTTATTAAAACTCCATTTCTCGACTCAAGTCTAATTTGAGTGGGCCACATTTTTCGTGATGACTCTCAGTACAAGGTTGTCACACATTGCATGTGGAATGCACTAAAATATAGAGCTATGGAAAAGCAGTGAGTATGAACATTTTCTCCATGTGGCAAGAGGCGATTGATCACGCTCCCAAACCTCAGTAATTTAGGTCCCGATAAAATGTGGTGGAATTAACAACAAAAAAGTTAAAATACATATATCTACATGCTAGATAATAGGAGTTCAAGAATTCCTGACTGGTAATTTAGAACGTTAAATGGTTTATGTTCGCCTTAAGTTAGTCTTAATCAGTTTGTGTTAGTTGCCATGCTTTCATGTGAAATTATCTGGACTTTAGATCTACTGTATACATGGCTATAACCTGCCTGTGTTGAAGAATATTGTTTCGCAAACCTCACATGCACTCTGCAGCTCTTTGCGAGGTGCTTTCCTATGCACCGTCACTGGCATCCAGTAAGTAAATCTTCACTCTCATGGAGAAAAAAAGTATAATTTGAGTGCAAACATTAAAAAAAATTGCTTATTGAATCCTACCGGGGGAAAATACTAAAAGGCCAAAACAACGCAACATTGGATTAATGTGATGGCGCTTCCATTTGCTAAGAATGCAATGCTTTCCTGAGACAATTACAAGACGCAGCATGCAACCCCCTTTGTGAGCGGAGCAGATTATAATAACCCCATCCCATAGCTGGATGGACTCCCCCATTACCAATTAAATTAACTTCAATGCGTCGCATATATCCTATCTAATTCGTACAATGGGATCCCAATTTACAGGATATACAAGTGCTGCATTTTTAGTTTACCACGTATCATCCATATGATATTGGACTGTAGTTTTTAGATTACGTAAATAGGACTAATGAAAATAATGGTCAATTACATGTAGCTCATCAAGGTGGCTGGTTGGCGAGCTCTTTGAGCGTGTGTTAGTACATCAAGTTATATTCAGGAACTGTATATGTAATCACTAATGAATGGCCAGCGGTTTGTTTATAGCTGCAATGACTGGCGGCTGTATGGCACATCAGTTGTAGAGGACATTCCCCCCATTTAACATAGAAGCAAACACCTATGTCCCTTGCCTGAATTAGCCGTCTGGAATAATATTCCAGACAATTACTGGCTGACAAGATTGCAAAATAAGATGAAGTGTATACTATTTAGATGTCACCAGTCCTGTGGCCGCATGCCAGCCTCAAGAACTGCTCCCTAAATGGACAGTGCTTTATTGGCAGTTACTCGTTTAGTGTCCCAGCACAGCATTCTGGAGTTAAAATTAGGCAAATTTCACTTTGCCTCACCTTGCCGTACAACTGCACAGTTGAAGTGAGTACGCATTTGTCGTGTGCACAGACGAAATAAATTGTGATTTCTTGCTCAAATGAGCCTTGAGGCAGTACTCCTCTCCTGTTTACAGCCCAGGAGCCTGTGGTGGCAATTCTCAAATTAATATGATGGGGCAAAGTATATCCAGAGGACACCCACTGTTGACTTCCCACTCAAAGTGGTACTTATTCGACCACAGCGGGATAAACAGGCCAAGTCAACCTCCGACCAGTATTTGAAATGGTGACCTTTGCACTGCGAGCCACGTGCTCTCCAGCTACCGCTTAGCCACCCGGCCGGTTTACGGACAGGCAGCAAGTAATTGATCCAGTGCTGAAACGAAGAGGTCTGTGAGGGTATGAACATTTGGCTTCTACAATAGAAACCGTGGTCTCCTTGGTTATATTCTACGAAACGTACGAATGACTGCGAAAATAAGAACACGAGACATGCTTAAAAATATTAAAAAATAGCGTTTCCAGTTACCCAGCAACTGAGACTTTTTTTTTACAATTATATATGGAATAAAAAACAATAATGCAATGCTGTATCTTTTTTTACAAGGCATGTAGTATCTGTTTTGAGGACGTTACAGATATGATGCAAAATTCATGACAAAGCTAGTTGACTTAATGCTGGTAAATACTGTGTAGGAATTGTGTTTACAAAAATATGAAGTTATGCCTCTTATTGAATATATATATGTACTGTAATGCTAATCATCCACCATATAGGATGAGATGTAATATTTGGGGGGGGGGGGGGGATATACTAAAAATGCACTGTGAACTCTGAAGCAAATTCATACAAGCAGATAACTAGAATTGGGACAAAGCTTGAGGAATGATGTGAAGTAGCATGCGCACATCCACACTGCCATGGTAAAAAATACAAAAGCTAATGTAACTTAAAAAAAAATCATGATAATCATAATACAAAACCACATACACATAAAAATACGGGTATTAACTTGGAAAAGTGGAACAATCACACATCATGCACCGTGTATCAATCCGTTTGCGATGTAAGGTTTCCATTCTCCAAAATAGTCTACGTTCATCATTACAGTACAATATTTACAATTTACAAAGATCACTGCAAACGCGAAAATTTTGATTTCTGGCTTATATTGAAAGAGTTATAGAGATGGAGGTCTGACCTCGCCTTTTAAATGTTTATATGCTACAGTCGTCAGGCAAAGTAACACTTTGTTAAGCCTATAGTTTCAAGCGACCCATTACAATATGGTCCAACATGCAGAGCAAGCAGAATGCTTTAAGTAGGGAAACCTTTAAAAGCAAAGCTCCGTACAATAAATGTGGCAACTGTAATAATACAAGGATGTTCCTACACAGAAACAAACTCTGCACCCTCAGTTCTTTGGCTAATTAAATATAGACCTTCATTTCTTTATTTGTTGTTTTGCTTTTTATCCTTCCGATTTTCTTTCCCTTGGTTTTATTCGCTGCTTTAACTTTAGCGTGAATCTCTTTAGCAAGAGCTGGGACTTCATGAACACATCATCCCTTTTAAAACATGACTTTCACAAAAGTACCTTGTTGTGCCTTGCAAGATGAACCTCTACGTGCAAAGATCCTGGTCACGTGTGACATATGCCGCTGACATGACTAAAACGCAAACTAAAATATACTTAACTTTATTCCTCATAACGGTGAAGAGGCTGCATGTCTCCACCGGCGAGGAACAGAAGGAGTTTTGATTAAGTGTTGACTTTCTGTTTAATTCATGTGAACAGATTGCTGGATTTTTCCTAAAGCTTGAAAAGTGTATATCATAATAACAATTTACAACCCTCTGCCGATCCGCTGCTAGATGAAGGCCTGTCCACGCCATGTCGGTCATCTGGGGTTGTTTGACCATGCTTCACATTGTTCAGTGATCCGATTAGCATGGTTGGCTATGTACCGTACGAAAGAAGTTCAAAATACATACATACGAACGGGGGAGTTTTATCTGGGACCAGTGCAGATATCATTCTCCATTGATGATAGCCGTAGCCGGGAATAAAACAAAATCAGGTTGGCAGGGTTTTCATAGGGCCATGCGCCACCCACTGTGCTACTTCTCACTGAAACCCAAATGTAACGGTCCGTAATTGTGTTTTATGTAGCAACTACGATACGCTGAACAGCAATTCCTGTCTCACTTCACTACATCCAGAATTATTACCCAATTATCATGAGAATTACTCTCCTGTGCAACAGCTTCAGGTCTCTGCACTTTTACATTATCAAACCGCCATTACGTTGACTTTGTTCGATAAGCTGTCATAACTTAAAAACAAAATGAACGTAATACTCTTGCCTGTATCTGATAGCGAGTCAAAAAAAAATCCTCATTTAAGAAATTCCACAGCACGTATTCTTATACAGCCCCTCTACTTGACGTGAACATCATTCATGTACTTCTCACATTGTACAATGTACTTGTACGTGTTTGGAAAAATATTATTTTGTAATGCTGGCAATTAATATTCAAGAAAGGGAATGATCAATCCAGTTTTTCAGGAATATTTTAAATTCAATTTTTTTTTCAGAGTTCATACTTGGACAGGGCAGGGGGGGGGCGGGGTATGGGCGAGAAAAAACAAGAACACGTTAAGAGAATTTACATTCGTTCAGCACTCCATGCCCGATGACATCTCACTTTGAGTCAAAGGCGGGGGGGGGGGGGCACCGTCGCTTTTCTAATTTTCGCCGGCAGCACAGCGGCCCGCTGGACCCCCCGACCCGTGTCTAGGTCCATGTTGCGGTGGAGCCATGAGTCACGACTTGCCGCCCCCACCGCCGCCGCCGCCGCCGCCGTCGTCCTCGGGAGAGGACTCGGTGTGAACGGGCGAGGAGCAGGGAGACGAGGAGGGGCTCAGGCGGGCCGGCAGGAGGTCGTAGTGGCCGGGGATGTGGCTGTTTCTTGGGAGGTCGTACGGGCTCTGTCCGAATGCTCCGACGTTGCCGTATGTACCGGGCAGCGTCATGGTGGGCTCTGCGAGCGGCAATGCGCGGTACAGTCAGTTGACCGCGCTTTCGGTAGAAATGATTTACTTTGCTTTGTATTGTTGCTTTTGCACACTTTAAACGAATGTTTTCCCTCTAGATTTGAAGTTTTCGTGACTGCAGCGATCCATACTCTTTGGTTCTTTCGGTAAAGTGACGTAGGTATAAAATTAAATTAAATCACGACGTTTCGGGCGCAACATAAGCGTCAGGTGGGACAACCACAGGAATAAACATTTCAGCCCACTTCAGCGATTGTTTCTTGCTGTGGTTGTCCCACCTGATGACGGACGCTTGTGTTGCGCCCGAAAAGTCGTGATTTAATTTTATTTTATACCTACGTGACTTTACCGAATGTTTTTCGCAGTTGTATTCCATTGGAGACATTCGTGTCATGTTATAAGATGAAGTGTTCATTCAAAACTGTGTTAGAGAACAATCTGTAGAAGGTGATATCACAGGACTACTTGTGAAATACATTCAGCAAGTTACCTAGATATATAAAAAAACTATTCTCTGAGACATTTGTTATAAGAAAGGTGCAATATAGCAGGAAATCACTTTTTGTATTCAAATGCTTTTTTTGTATTAATAACGTTACAACGTTATAGTGAACGTGGCTTAAAACCTTAACAAGAGTAAAATGACCAACCATGACACCATTTAAACAATTGCAACTGCCCATCTGAATTCTGCCATTGTCAAAACGTATTTTAATTACAATGATAATCTCTAGAATCAAGTGCAGCTATGCTGCAAGCATGCGCTATTGACGCAAATCCCCCTCTCCATCAAAACATCCAAGCCGTGCCAGCTCAGGGCCGTCATGGCACAGGTGTGGGTTTTCCACTGGCTACTTTCCGTGCAGACCCAGAACCAAAGCGTGAAAAACTACGGCCTCACAAAGCATCTGTGTGTTTGCCTCGGCACATCCCTGGTGTGGTTCGGATGTATCAATGGGAAAAAATTAACCCGTAAAAACAAAGTTTTTCACTCTAAATCCTTTATATGCGTAGCGGCTAGAGTCCTCTCGTCCTCTGGCTTGAGATGGCTACCACCTATGGGTCAGATGATTGTCTGCCAGCATTAAGCAATTGGTAAATAAATAATTATTTATTTTTCCCTAAACAGTGTAAAATTTTGGAAAACATTTTTCACGAAAATTAATTGTCACGCACAACGAGTCTGTGTGGAAAATGTCAGCTCGATTGGATCACGGGAAGTGGGTTAAAAAACGACCGAAAGATTTGCACGGTCGTAAGCAAGCAAGCAAGCACGCAAGCAAGCAAGCAAGCGAACTTAATATAAAGGATTTAAAAAGGGGTTTTGTCCCCTGTAGTATTTAGTCGGGGGGTGTGGGGGGTCGGCGCTTACCAGGTTCATAGACGTTGCTGCTGGCCATGGCGGACGCTGCATGGGCGCACAGAGCCGCACCGCCCCCCGCCGGCTCGCTGTGCCCCGGCGAACGCATCTCCACATAGTTGCTCTCGGTGCCTGGCAGGTCCTTGATGGTGGCGTACGGGTTCTCGCTGTTCAGGGACGCGTTGCTGGCACTGCAGCCCGCTTCGTTCAGCACGTCTGGCGAGTGGCGGGGGTTAGGGGCATAAACGAGAGAACGGCGCCGTCTCATATCCACTGGATGGAGTCGCGTTTGCAAATGTCATTTGGAAACTTTGATCACTGCCTGTGTATCGATAGTTCAACGTTAATGTGCCATTTTATTGAGGGACTGTGTGTTGTCTTGTTGTGTTCTGGGACTGTTTTGTTGTTGTTTTTGCTGCCTTGTCCAATCTAGATAAATCACAAGTATTTATTTTTATATTTATATCTATATTTTGCACTATGGTTTTTTGTATTATTTAAGTTGTAACTGTCTGACCCACCCATACTGGACATCTGTGAAAAAGAGGTTCATAGCTCAGCAGATTCCGCCAGTCAAAATAACGATTCTAATTCACTGCTGGATGAAGGCCTCAGTACGTCGTTAAGACCATACCTCGCCAAATTAGTCAGAGCTGAAACCGTGTCACCAGGTTCGTAGCCGAGTGCGCTAACCGCTGCACCGCCGCCTCGCTCCCCCAGGACGCAAAATGCACTGTGGATCTGTGGATGAGTCACTGGAAATATGACCCAGGGTCTCTTATCTGTGCTACTGTGACGTGAACTTTTGTGTAACAGAGCCATGTAATATGTGTATGCAAAGCACCTGCTGCACTGAAGGGAATGAAATTTGAATGGTTGGCAGTGGTGCGTAGGTGGGTGATAATTCAGTTCTCAGCGATGAAACAGGAATTCGGTGAAATCAACGACAGAGTAGATCCCTCTTCCATCATTAAAAAAGTAATAATTCCAAGGTCTAGATGAAAATTTGCATTGACATTCTTACAAATTAAGGGATACATTGCATACATTATTTTAAAACCAAGAGATATTTATATAAAACGTCAACTATTTATTCAGGAAACCTTTAATAGTTTGGAAATTATTTCATGAGGGTGCTACATTGGGATGTTTGATTAAATTTCATTAATGAGTGTTTGGAAACTGAGGGAACCAGAGTATCCGGAGAAAACGGATGCATACGAGAGGGTGAGACACTCAGCATTGTCATCTCCTGGCCACTTTGCAGCCTTATGGCTCCAACAGCTGACTAACCCTGGTGGTGACCAAGGCGTAAACCAGGCCCAACCACGTGCTTGGCTTCTGATGTCCGCCATATTTAGGCCAATTTAAAAATAGATCAACACATCAACACGACTAGTGAATCACCATATAGATACAATGTGGTGTCCATAATACCTTTTAGTGATCTTCCATGGCCATACCTCGTTTCCATTCCAAACAAACCTACAGAGAAAATTCCACTTCTGTAAAAAAAAACTGCACATGCATACCGATTTCGGAGACAAGTGAGCGGTAGCGATTGGCTGAGTGTTAATCCCTGCACGAGTGTGCGTGCGTGCGTGTACGTACTCGAATGCGTACCCATGTCGTTGGCATGGCGCTCGCGTTTCCAGTCGGCTGGCAGTGTGGCGGTGTGGCTGATCCCGCATGCACCGCGCTTCTGCTCGTGGTTTTTCAAGCCCACATAGTGCTGCAGGAACACAAGCGGGAACTATGTTACACTATATGTACATGTGTATGCTGAACTTCTTTCGCACCGTACGTAGCTGCCAACCGCACTAATCGGAGGTATGGGGGAATGACAATAAATTAAACACAACAGTCAAAAAAGTGAGTTTTCAATATAGATATAAAGGTGCATTGCTCCAGTGGCTTCCTAACATCGAAAGATTATTTTCAGATGCAGAAGCGCATCTGAAAGCGTGCGAACGCAGTGACCGTCTTTGTTCAGTGGTTATCCAAAGGCCGCTGTTTGCGTGATGGTTTGAGCTCCTTGACGAGAAGTGAGGTTATATAGAAGCCAAACGTGGCGTGGTAATTTTGTCGAGCAACATTCACTGGCAGCCCTAAGGGTATTTGGGGCTACTCTTTCATGCTGGCCAGACGTCGTGCATGAGGTGGGAGCATCTACCTCTTAGCGGCGTAGCTATTTGTACACAGGTAAACAGAAGCGGGGGGGGGGGGGCTTTAACAAACGTGCCTATTATTTAAACTGCCAGGAAGGGAGATTAAATTGAACAGACAACTTGCTGGATTGCAAGTACATTGTGCTGATCATGACACCACGGCAGTGTATCCACAATGGCAGTAGACAGCTCATGTGAGCCACAAAACAAGACTTAAAGCTTTCGTGACTGCAGGAATTCATATTCTTTGGCTTTTTCGGTAAAGTCACGTAGATAGGTTCAAAGAAAATAACAAAAAGTAACAAACAACTACGACGTTTCGATCTCAACACAAGCGGTCGTCATCAGGAAGAGGGGCTGATGACGAACGCTTGTGTTGCGATCGAAACGTCGTAGTTTTTTGTTATTTTCTTTGAACTTATCTAAGTGACTTTACCGAAAGACCAAAAGAATACCACAAAACAAGCTTATTTATTTCATTCGGTGTAACTCTTAAAGTGGGAACAAAAAAAATTAGCCATGTAAAAAAACACATGGACATTTTTAGATTTCTTTGACATGTACGTGCAATTGATCACTCTGCTTCACAGACTTTGAGTTATACATGGGGTTTTTTGTACAATGTTGTCGACCTCAGTGCTGTTTTGCACCCAAGACTTTTTATACGTGATGCCCATTCTACCAGCCTCGCGCTGTATTCGTTGCGCTGGTTGCACTGTGTTGATGCACGACCTTGCCATACGAAACATAACCGTGCACAATTGTTTTTGGATTGTTTTGCAAGCATTTTTGCAAAACCATGTCCCCATCGAAAATTTGCAATTTTTTTGCCCAATAAGTTTTTACCTATGCCCAGAAAAAAGAGAAAAAATTGACTTTCCCACGTGAAAAATACAACCGCTCGCCAATCTCATTCCGTGTTGACGACGGTCGTGCGGCAGATACGGGTGAAAACATTTTCCGTGAGAAAACGCTTCGTCTCGGGACAGGTGCTCGCTAAAAAAATCGAGCCTGAGTCACCTTGGTGTTGACGCCTCTGCTCAAGTTGTTGGGCATCAGAGGTGGCGGGCTGCTGCTCTGAGACAGCGTGTGGTAGCTGGGGTTTGAGAAGTAATGTCGTCCGTGTCCATTGGGCGCAGTCTGGTCCACTGCAACGAACAGCAATAGCAGCGTGGTTATGAAAATTGTCACTTTTCAGGCTAAAAAATTAGGAAGCGAAAGGCAAAATATACGCGAGTGTGTGACTTACTTTACGTGCAATCTCACAGTATGGTATAAAATGTAAAGGTGCATCTCTGCAATTGCCTGCTCACGCTACTGCAGGCGGAAGGGCCTACACTAGAGGCAGCTCCAGAGAGCCCCTCTGGAAAGCATATGTATTTTTAGCCTACTCTTCTCCACTGGGCAAATGCCATGGAAGATGTAGAAATGCCCATATATTACCCCACCATACGTGGGGGGGGGGGGCTTAAGAAACTTCCACCGTTGTTTCAACTGCCGCGCCATTGAATCGGCAAGCTCTGGATTGCAAATCCAGTCCAGTGTGCAAACCATTTCACCGTGGTGGCATCACTTCAATGCCATGATATACGAGGACAATTTTGGGGTCAGTTGATGTGACACTCGGAATTGAGTGATGGAGTTCTATTTATGCAATGGAAACAACGTTTGTTGAAAAGCGTTGAAAGGCGTCTCTGATCAACAATGATTGGTCTACAGTCCACACGAGCTTTGGTAGTCACATGGCCTCTGTTTGCAAACGCCATTTGCCCACTAGAGGGAGCAGCCATCCTACGGTGTGCCGACATACGGGAAACTAAAGAAATTGTCCAAAAATTAGGAATTTGTTGACTTAGGCATATTAAGTTTGATGACGGTTGCTGTGCACAGGTGTAAAGGGCCAAAATGGCAAGCAACCAGCAACAAACAGCACGATTGGAGGTGTAACAGATAGTCCATCGGTTCCTTGAATCGAGCAAAGTTAAAGTATTTAAAGGTCAACTGTTTCCAGTTGAATGAATACCTCTCAGATATTTTACAATGGAAATCGTTATTGCCGGTGACAACTACCAGCAGCACCTTATTGTCCATCCACTGCTGCTGGATGAGGGCCTCCCCACACACGGTGCAGGTTGTTGTTGGGGGTTGTTTGACCGTACTTCACCGGTGAAGGCCCGTCGATTGGGATGCCGCGGTGGCAAACTATTAATTACCTCGCCTGGTATACAGGAGGTTGTGGGTTCGATCCCGACCCTGACGCCTGTGTATTTGGAGTTTGCATGTCTCTCTCTCTTCCCCTGGTCGCGTGGATATTTATCCGAGTCCTCCGGATTTTCCCTTCCACATTTTGAATCCACATCACGAGTATTTGGTGCTATAAATTTCCACACGATATGCCACTTCGTTGAGCTATCATTTGTGATAGCCATCTCACATCTGAAAAATATCTCTATAGCTCAGTGGGCCTTACCTGGTAAAATAAAAATAGTTAAAAGTTTAATAATTCAGTAAAAAATAAAAAAAAAATGTAGTTTCGATTTAAAGCTTTCGTGACTGCAGGGATTCATCTTCTTGGTTCTTTCGATAAAGTCACGTAGAAGGGAAATAATAAAATAATAAAAATAAAACATAATAAAATAATTCTCACGACGTTTCGGCCACAATGCAAGCAGCCGTCCTCAGGTGAGAAACAGGTCTGTCGGAAATTCATTCAGACGCTGTCTTTCCGACAGACTTGTTCTTCACCTGAGGACGGCTGCTTGCGTTGTGGCCGAAACGTCGTGAGAATGATTTTATTATGTTTTATTATTATTATTTTATTATTTCCCTTCTACGTGACTTTACCGAAAGAACCAAGAAGAAGAAAAATACGTAGTTGTATCTACAGTTTCGATTGCTCTGAGATTTCCTCGGCTCGCTGCCACACCTGCGAGCGTGGGGGGCTCTCCGTTGACGACGCGCAGCGCGGGCGTGTAGGACACGGCCGGCACGTCGTGCCCCTTGTCCTTGCGCTGCCGCTGGCGGTAGAGGAAGACGACGATGAGGACCAGCACCAGCACGATGAGCAGCACGATGCCCACGACCACCACCACGTAGTGGCCCTCCGTAGGCACGGCCGCACTCGTCGCCTTGCTCAGGGAGTTCGAGCTCTCCATGATGATGAGCCGGCTGCCGGGAAACACACGGAGACGGCCTCGGTGAACCCACGCGGTCAATTGCCAGCGGCGTAGCCGCGGGGTTTAAACAGCTGAAGCATAGCCACTCGCGGTAGGCCCAGCGGTTAGCACCCCTCTGTTTGGAATTACGTCAAGCACATATCAGGATAGATTTGACAAAATGTTTTAGTTTCACATAGCGTGGTCGCTCATGTACATTGCATCTTACAATCGTCGGGGAACTGCAGACAAGCTGGAAGGTAGTTTGTCAGTACAACAATTGCCCAAGATCTGCTGTCCTTAACATATATAACTTTTTTTTTCCCCCAGCAAATCATGAATTTTTATACACGTGGGGGGACTGCTTCAGATATCAATCACCACTGACGTCGTTATCGGTGGCTCTTCATCGAACTCGAGTTCAGGATAAATGGTCCAGAACATGTGTTCATTGCTCTCCCGGGCTGATTATGGAAATATGTTGAACTTATTTCGCACCGTACATAGCCAACTGTGCTAATCGTATGTGCGGGGGAAGGACAACGAACTAAACACAAATTTTAATTTTGCAAGGCATTAGCTTATTTGCCTTGCACGATCTGCCGGTAGCCCAAGTTGTTGTTTCCTTACCATTATAAATGACTTAATGTATTCCACGTGGACATCTCGGCCCACCGAGGTGCCACTTACAAAGGAAATTTCAAATCGTGGGAAGGTTTTCAGATTAACTCGGTCGCTTGTGTCATTGGCATAAACACGCAGTAATCCTGCGACGGTGGTACTTGTGAGGTGCTAGCCCATTGGGGTCTCAAAACAAATCGGTACCTTTGGCGCCCACGCATTCAACGTAGCCAAAAGACAGAATGAACGGTAGTGAGATCAAAGGAACGTGGACAAAAATAGATGCACGCAGTGAGGTGAACTTGCTAGGCAAAGGGTGTGAATGTAGGTGGATGTGAGAAGAGCCACTGATAATACAGAGACGTGTGAAATGAGAAATATGCACTCAGGAGACCGTTTTCGCAAAATCCACGTGCATATTCATGTTCGATTTAACATGCACAGTATATGGTAATGCAGAATCAGTAATCTGCAGAATACAGACAAATGCTTGATTTTAAATCAATTATTTTTTGTCATTTCCATTCAAAATATGGAATACACGAAATACACATGTGATTTTTTTTAAATTTTAAAACACCCCGCCCCCCGTGCTTTGTGCACAACAGAAACTGAAATAATGGATGTAAATTAAATCCACCGTCATTAAAATGGATGGATTATGCTTAATGGTATCTGTCTCATATGTGCATATTCATTGCACAGTAGTATCCTCTGGCAAGCGAAAAGTATGCAGCCTAAAGCATTTATGAGGGAGTTCTTCCCCCTGTTGGATCTTCGTTGTATGAGCACAATCGTGGCCAGCATACAAAGTTCTGATAGCCCAAATCTATGAACCACAGAACCCAAGTTAGTGAGAAGAAATTGTTGCGGAAAAACGTGGCACTTCTTGATACAACATACAAGGACAAAGATTTCCCCACAAGCCTACACAGGCTGTTGGGGCAGGTGCTGTTAGCATAAAGGCCGGCACGGTACATAACCATGAGGATGCCAACTTATGCTGGTTCAGCCTACAATAGATATAGTCCGGTCCGGTACATCGCCCCCTACTGAGGGGATAGCTCTCCCAATGCTGCTACGCGCTTAAAATGTCGCTAGCAATTCCCGCGTCATGAGTCACCAGTCGGACACCATCTATTGCCTGCGACCTCGTGTGCGTACATTCGCCGCCTAAGACCTCTGGACGAGTTTATTTATCTAGCCTTAGCGGGCGGGCAGCCGGGGGCTCCAGCCTATTGGTACGAAATGGTGCCAAACTATTTTCTCGGTTGGGGTACAGTTAGGATCGGTCCAGCCCGGAGCCCAAGCGGGTTTAGCGTAGAATAGATGGCATTGGGCTCAGTCCGTTTAAATCGTTCAAAACTGGCGAAGGGCTCATGGGTTCTCTACTGAACTACCATCAGTCCCTTCGTTTCGATTTATCAGAATAGGAAGTCGACGTGACACAGGCGCCTAATTCACGGCCCCTATAATTCGCGGGTTCCTGTCCGAGAAGGCCAAATCCAATACGCGTCATATACGGCTGAGAATAGCGGGCAGAACGACGTCCATATTGGTCGATAACCTAGCTTTTGACATTATTTGAGAGGCTGCCTTGTCCGTCTTGTGGGCAGCCACGATTATTATATACCTGGTCACCTTACTAGCTCGACGTGAGCGAGATAACGTGCATCCCTTATGTAGCGACCCACCGTGCGTTAAACATCCCACCTGGTCACTTTCGCTCCCGTAATGTATTAGCTTTTAGTTTCGGGTTTTTGTGGTAATCATATAACGATAGCACCTATGAGTGGGTTGGGGATCACCCAGAGATAATGCCTAGCGCAGTCTGCCCGTCCCCAGCGTAGAAACGAGAAAATAGCACATCCGGCGATGCCCGTTTGAAGGCTAACGCTGGGTCCGAGTTATCTTAAGTCATGGGGCAAAAGATGGCCGTCAGAGGTCGCCAACTTGCAGATGCGTTAGATCTTATCCCGGCTACTCGCTCGAACAGAGCTCCCGGCGGTCGTTGCAGGTTAGGCCTCAAGCCAACGTGATATAGGGAACGTATGCCTTCCAATTATTTCGAGCTCGGCTGATTGCAAATCGAGAGTCTTGCATGCAAAAGAGGTTTCACACTTCATATCTTAATCGAACTACGGTGGTAGATGGGCTCACAGAACGAGCATCGGGGTAACCTGTTTCCATCCCTATATTCTGGCTGTAGGACAACGATCGATATTTGCACTACGATAAGGCTTTATCGGAGCGAGCATGAGGTTAATCGACGGGACAAAATCACTTGCCTTTTCTCCGTTGACTAACAGCGCTTTAAGCTCGGTTAATGGGGTTAAATCTTGAGAATCCTTTACAGGTATATGGTTGACCAGCTGGTATCTCCTCATCCCTTTCTAATGCCCATCACTGGCCAGTTACGACTTGCATGTTAGGACTCCATGTCCACCATTGATTACTGTAGTCCTCACGTAGGAACGAGCTGATCTAGTTAGTTACTATAGTTCGATGTTAAATAGTCGTATCACTTGCGATAATACGCAAATGCCGTCCGACAGTACCAGAAAAATGCGTACACAAAATAGGACGCTTTGTCATGGCGCCCGCGCCAGGAGTTTCAGCCGGAAAGAACTGGGTACGAGTCTAGCTCTTATCCGATTAGCACGCGTATAAGGAGGTTGACCGCAGGAGATAGTTGGCTTGTGATGAATCGTTCAGGGGGTACAATGAAAAGACGCGCCTGCGGGGCGTATTTCTAATGATCTAATGTGTCGATATGGATCATCAAGCTTATGAATAGGAGCGACCGAATGTGGCCGAATCGAAGCTTATTTTTGCATCTAATCTTAGGTGAAAGGACCGGTGTCATGACGATCCTACTTTCCGAAGACATAACTGCTGCTAGCGAACTTTCCAATGGTCGTCGAAGAAGCTTATAAACTGCTTTTGTAGTTGAATTTCGGCGGTCCCTCACCAATGCCTTCGTGAGATAGGTCTCACTTGCCCAACTTGCCAATGCTTTGGTCTCCAACCTAGTTATGTGGGTTCGCTGCGGAGTTTTCCGACCCTTCGACGGACAGCTGCAAGCGGCTTCTGGCTAGGGCGGATCATTCATGAGCAGGGTCCCGAGCAACTCCACTCGGTTATTGTTACATGAAGCCTTTTTTGGCAGTAAATGTTGATGCTCTATAACCACCCATTCGGAAATACAGCATCTCCCGAGGGTTATTCCGTTGTACCAATGGTAAATGGCGATGTACCGATTAACCCTATGTACTTCTCCTAAGACCGTCAACCTTCGGTCCCAACCCACATCCGGTTAGTTTGCTCATTAGCTGATGCTTGGCAACCTAACTCGATGGGAAATGGTCGACCTCTATCCCTAGGTCTCGTGATTGGAACTAAACAAATGGCAGTCATCCGAGACAGCTGACACTTGGTAAGGTAGTCGCCTCTTGTGCATGTATATCCCAGTGTTCCGACTACCAGGCTAACATGGTCGTGTTAGAGGTTTCGAGTGGACGCGATGGATCCGTCAGAAATCCAAAATGGCGCAAGAACTCGAGACCCGTTTTTGGAAAATACGCCGTGCTGCGGACTCCTACCGCGAGGTAGGGCACACAAGACGCGGGCCCTATTTCAAGAGAACTAGAATCGAGTTACGTGTCCCACTATTCTTTGAATCGCTGCCCTTGAATCTAACTCTTGCGTACTCGCATCTTATTGGCTTTGCGCACCCAAGCACCTCGGCTAAGTAGACTTTCGGTCAACTGTGATACACGGAAAGTAAATTCAACCCGTGTGCGTCATGCGGGACAACTCGCTTTGTGGAAAATGTCAATGTGGTTGACCACCGAACTAAATCCCTGATATGCAAAACTAGCGTGTGCGCATGGGGATACGAACCCTTATATTCCTGAATGTACATCAAGGATCTGTAATGGTTTTTTAGGGCCCATTAAGTAAGTGTCTCCTCGATGCCCCTTCCTAATGTCGTCGACAGTGCACCCCTGTCGAGCTTGTCCCCTATGAGCTATAAAACTGGATACTAAATATGCTAGGAAGTCCTTAGAACATTGGTTGTTGGCAGGGCGGTTAGTCTGTACGTCTCTAATGACCCCAACCCCTGACACTTCCGTTTCATGAGACTTATCAACTTGGTATGCGCCGCACTCCCCGAGAAGTTCGCTTTGATCCACAGTCTCAGGGCGATACCTAAGCGAAGTAAGGTGGAAGTGACATATGTTCATGGATTAAAGTTAGCGCCAAAGTCTAATATCGCGTAGAGTCCATAGGGAGGTATCCAGAACTAGGCTGATTATCCAGTAGAAATTCGAGTGCGACGAGAGTTCTGGGTGCTATTGACCATCTTGTGTTCATCGGCGTTGTGTGTCAGAGTAGCGAGCACCAGGGTGATAAACAAATCATTATAGATTTACACGCCTGGTTAACGCTCACTGTCTGTCGCGGCCTCAACTGCACAAGTCTGCTGAATATGTCCTGTTGAATTGTAGGCCGAGTGACCTATTGCCCTGCCATATGGTTCTCCTTTAGTTACTTGGAAACGCACGCACGGTCTTTACTCAGGAACGTCTCCGAATGTGATTGTCCGGAAAGCGATCCATTGCAATTTTGCGGGCCCGATCCGTTCACCGCTTGCGTTTGGAAATGTTTCGGGTCGGATTAGGCTTTTAACCCACACTCCAAAATCCGACTTCGCCCGAATACACATTTGTGTACATTTGTTGCTGACTGACGCGTATCACTGGACATAGTATGTTTTCTCTCAGGTGAAAGTATATCGAAATTCTTAGGATGACCCAGAATTGACCAATGGACCCAGTGC